CTCCAATATCACTTCTACCAACTGTGTCCTGTGATACTCCGTGCACCCCACAAGAGCAGCACCCCCTAGGGTGGGGCCTGACTGCTTCATTTCAGTGTCCCCAGGACTCAGGCCAGACCCCATGCATGAGATGACTTGAGGGAGCATCAACAACTGACTGGGAAGTGGCTGGAAGGAGGTCACAGCCCCTGGTCCCTTCTGGACAGAGAGTGCCTGATAGCTATCCCTCCGAGAAGCGTCATGCCCTGGCCCCGTCGGGCAGGAAAGAAGGGGCAGAAGATGCCTGGACTGTGTGGGAGGCAGGGATGGGGCAGCGTAGGGCGGTGGGTAGCTCCAGTGCTGACTCGACAGCCCTGAGAGGGACAGTTGCTTTCTTGTCTGTTCCTGTCCCCTGGGGCCATGCTTTGAGGAGCTCATTTCAGTCCCAGGTGGTCTGGGGGGGTATGTGCCACTGCCCCGTCCTTGGACAGCAGCATGCCTTCCTTTCTCCCTCCGATTTCTTCAAGGACTCGAGGTGGGAGACCCTGCGGGAGGGGAGCCAGCACCTCCTGCCCTGGACCTACCTGAGTTGCAAGTTCCTCATGAAGTCCTCCATGGTCACTTGGTCCAAAAGCACGAAGTCAGGTTTGCCATACTCAGAGCCTTCCTCGTCCTCCATCCTGCTGGCTGGAAACACCCAGAGCAGGTTACCTCACCTTCCTGTGCCTGCCGGCAGGGCAGTGAAAAGAAGGGGAAGGGAAGGCTGGGGGAGGTCCCCCCACCCCCACCCCACTAGCCTCCTCCAGTGCTGGTGTAAAGTAGGAAGTGGGTTCTGGTCCTGGGAGGGGCTGCCCTCCCCACTTGTTACTCCCTCCCCCTCGAGGTGCTCTAAACCCTGCTTCCTGTCCCTGTGCCCCACAGGGAGGCTTTGCCTAACGGTCTGACCCGCTTGCACGCCAGAGCCGAGGGGCCGGATGCTGGGTCCTCCCAGCTCTGGAGGGTTTTTTGCTGGCCTCCTTCGGAAGCTCCCCTCCACCCACAAGCAGGAGACAAGACTCTGTGGGTTGGTTTCCAGCCCTGGCAGCACTTTAGAGTCACCCGTGGGACTTTAAAGAAAGATTTTGACACGATCTTGGTTACCCAGCTGTGTGTGTCTGTCAAGTCAGCACTGAACACTAGATGCGATTTACTGTATGTACCTTGTATCTTAATACAAAAATGAGAAAGGATCCTAATGCCCAGGCCTTTGGGGTGGGGGCAACAGCCTTCTTTGAAGTGTGAAGGTCACACTGGGGTGTAGATGAGCAAAGCTTCTCATATGACCTGCCAAGGGGCCAGTGGTCCTGGCACTACAGTTCTCCACCCCAGCCACAGGGGAGGGACAGAGGACCCTAGAGCATCCTCTGCATGGGGATGGCCTTCAGTGGGACCCCTGTGCCAGTAACTGTCCTCTGCTTTGTACTTGCATCCGGCCAATCCCCCATAAACAGCAGAGAGGATCAGGCATATGGCTTTGTGCAGTCCCTGTGCTTTGAAGATGAGGCAACACATTTGGGGAGCCGCTGCATGTGGGCAGTGGCCAAAATCTCCAAACACTGCATTCCTGACACTTGGTGCCTGCCTCCTGGAAGAAGAGGGAGGGGTCCAGTTCTCTTAGCCTCCAGGCAGACTGGGGAAAGTTCTTTCTCATCCCAGGACCGACTAGGGCAGGTCACACCCATTCTCTAGGAAAACTGGGGCAACTCTTTCATCAAAGGGCAAATGGACACATTTCTCTCTCATCCTACAAACAGACTGGGGGCATTTATCTTTCACCCCTTCCCTCATACAGGGAGGTCAGAAGGCAGACTCCAGAATTCCCAAACTTCAGTCATTCATGTGCTGTCTTTGAGATTTGTTGTACTCACCGGGCACGGTGGCTCACGCCTATAATCCCAGCACTTTGGGAGGCCGAGGCAGGTGGATCACTAGGTCAAGAGATCGAGATCATCCTGGTCAACATGGTGAAAACCTGTCTCTACTAAAAATGCGAAAAATTAGCTGGGCATGGTGGCGCACGCCTGTAATCCCAGCTACTTGGGAGGCTGAGGCAGAAGAATTGCCTGAACCCAGGAGGAGGAGGTTGCGGTGAGCCGAGATCATGCCATAGCACTCCAGCCTGGGTAACAAGAGAGAAACTCCGCCTCAAAAAAAGACTACTTGAGAGATTTGTTGTACTCATAAGCACAAGTTTAACTATTGTCTTTCAGTCATCCCACTTTTTAAAGTAATCCATATGAGAGTTAAGGTTATTATTTATTTATTTAATTAATTTTTTTTTTGAGACGGAGTCTCACTGTGTCCCCCAGGCTGGAGTGCAGAGGTGTGATCTCAGCTGACTGCAACCTCTGCCTCCAAGGTTCAAGCAATTCTTCTGCCTCAGCCTCCCAGGAAGCTGCGACCACAGGTGCGTGCCACCAAGGCTGGCTAATTTTTGTATTTTTAGTAGAGACGGGGTTTCACCATGTTAGCCAGGATGGTCTTGATCTCCTGACCTTGTGATCCACCCACCTCGACCTCCCAAAGCGCTGGGATTACAGGCATTAGCCACTGCCGTTAGGTTATTTTTTTCTCTCAAATACCTTAAAGTGAATACAGTCCTGGTAAAACTGAAAGTACTTATTCAAGTTCCTAATAAAACTGAGTCATGCACTATCTGCGATAAGGGGCCACTGGCCTGAAAAATCCTCAAATTCCCAGTTGGGTGGTCTCTGGCTACACCCTGGGCTATACCTGGAGCTCCTCTTGGGCAAATTCAAACTCAGTCCCTCCAAGCTCTGACAAGTGTGGCCCCCTCCCCACCCCCAGGCTCTTGAGCTGGTGCTTTTGAAGGGTTTCCCAAACATGCAATCAAGTCCGGGGATTCTTACCCAGGCTCTTGCCAGCTCATCTCTCTTTTCAGTTTCACTTCCCCAGCTCCCAGGGAGTCAAGCCAACCAATGGAACCAACATGGCTGTGTTCCAGTAAAACCTTAAGCTCACCAAAATCTGAACTTCACAAACTTTTTGTCTGTCACGTAATTATACTCTTTTGGGGTTTTTTTCCCCCTCACTAACCAACTCAAAAATGTCAAGACCATTCTTAGCTCAGAGATTTGGCCAGCGGTGGGGGTGGGGAGGAGTCTGCCCACCCTCACTTTAGCTGCTGCTGGTTGCTGGGACCCTGGGCGTCCTTCCTTGGTAGTTCGCACAAATTTGCCATGCATCGCCTCATTTGATCCTCATGACCCACTTAAGAGTTACTGTTATTTTCACTTTACGTCTATTAAACCGAGGCTGAGATGACAACACGGCAAAGGAATTTCCCTCCTGGGTCAACAGACTTCTGGGCCCTTCCAGCCCTGAATTCAGTGGCTCCTACTCAAACCCCAGGGAAAAGCCAGTCAGTCAGAGTCACGGCCTGCTTCTTAGAAGGCAGGACAAGTGCTAGCTCTCTATCTGCAGCTTCCCCAGGGCATGCTCCTTACAGGATCTGACTGGTAAAACAGGTACATGAACAAACACGGAGGCCCCTAATGGAAGGACAGCAAGGAGGGGGCCCCCACTAACTCAAGCCTGCTGGGGACTGAGGAAACCTTCCCAGCCCTGGTAAGTTTCGCTCTCATTATCTCATCAGTCTCACCATGCCTCCCTCCACCAGGGCTCCTCCTGCTGCACCTGCAGGCCCCTTGCCCTCACCCTCCTTGATGCAACCTTCAAATCCCAGGCTTGCTCTGCTGCTGCTGACCTTTGCAGCAAATCCCCAGCCCCAGAAAAATGTCCCCTTTCACAGGAAAGTTGCTTTCTCAGCTTCTCTACACAACTGTACCACAACTCAGGATTTATATTTAAAATTTTTACCTCATCTGAGGTGATACCATTGGGCTAGTTCTAGGGGAATGGCTCTACCAAGGCACCTTAGAAATTCCACATGTACTCTCATAGGCCACAGGGCACACAGCTCACCTGAGCCTCTTGGAACTGTGGGTGGAGGCCTGGAAGGCACTGCCGTAAGGCAGCTCCACTCCCTGCCCCGTCCCTGTAGGAGGCTATCAAGAGTTGCTGTCTCCTGGGATTCTTTTCTAAGCAGGGAGGAGGCTTCGGGTTCATACCCTGCTCCCACCATGGTATGGCGGCAGACTAGACGATCTGCTCAGCCGCAGTGTATTACTGGCTCAACAAGGAAAGACGCGGTGTCTACTGCTGCAGGCCCCTTTGGGAGCTTTTCCATTCACTGTCAGTAGGAAATTGAATGTTAAGTCACTAGAGGCCAGGTGTGGTGGCTCATGCCTGTAATCCCACCATTTCGGGAGGCCTAAGTGGGTGGATCACCTGAGAAGAGTTCAAGACCAGCGAAACCATCTCTACTAAAAATACAAAAATTAGCCAGGTGTGGTGGCATACGCCTGTAATCCCAGCTACTTGAGAGGCTGAGACAGGAGAATCGCTTGAACCCCAGAGGCAGAGGTTGCAAAGAGCCAGTATCGTGACACTGCCCCCTAGCCTGGGCGACAGAGCAAGACTTCATTAAAAAAAAAAAAAGTCGCTGGTACTTCAATGGCTCTATTTAATTGGCCTGGCCTGCTGCAACATTCCTTGACAATGTCACCACCAACCTGGGGCACAGCACACATACTAAGGGTACTCCTTCTGTAACTTGTTTCAATGCTTAGGTGAACACCTGAGACTATCTGAAGAGACACTGTCTAATCGAGCCAACTGTCGAATGTTCCTGGAACCCACTCAAGATCTCAAGGTAAAGCTCCTGATGACAGTGCCTTTGTGCTCCAGCACCCCACTGCAGAATGCAGCCAGCTGGATTTGGCTTGTGGTAACCCTCACCACAGCTTGCCACTGTCAGTTCAAACTGGTGGCACATGCGCATGAGGTGACCACAGTTCCAAGCGGCCACTTACAAGGCATGGGCATTGAGAATGATGAAATACTTGAGGCTCCCTTAGACTTTGGTGACAACTCCTTCAAGAAGACGCCAGACAAAATCACATACTTAAATCCGTATTTATTAAATATCCCTTGTTTTTCATTCAGGAGATACCAGAAGGGCCCAGGTGCTGGAGCACAGCAAGGCTTCTCATTCTGGAAGCAGAGAACCTGGTACCCAAACCTAGGCCCAGAGCCCAGGCCCAGAACCAGAAATTCCTGACTCCTTCCAGAAGGGCAGCAAGGAAGGTTTCAAACTTGCTCAATTAAGGTGCCAAGACTTGCGTTCAAATTCAGCTCCACTCCTCACTAGGTGTATTAACACGGGCATGCCTCATCTGTAAAAATGAGATTAGAAACACTTCAGAGACCTGTTGTGACATAATTCACACAGCTAGGATTATAAATCCCTATTGCCATCAGCGGCAACAGAACAGAACCCAACTTATCAACTTCTGAACCCATTCCCACCATGAGCTGAGAGGTCTGTGCCCATGGCCTTTCCAGGGGCTGAAACACTGGCCACTGACCTAAAGTACCTTCGGAGAAAAGGCTATATACGTTGAAACCAAATCACGCCCAAGAATCAGGGTCCGTGAATCCAAATACTAGATAACGGTTTGTCCCAAAATAGTCTTGTGAGCTTGAAGACAATTAACCTTTCTGGGACTCAATCACCTGACTCACAATATAGGAAGGTCAAAATAAGGTGATGGTTTTTGAACTTTTCCTTAGGCAGGTGACTCTAAATAAAATAGGAGTAAAGTGACTTGCCAGGCCAGACCTTCATGCACACTTACCCCTGCACAGGTTCCAGGGAACAGCCTGGCAGCCACTGAAGGAATCGTCTCTCAGGTCAGGTCGCCGCTAGCTCTGGCATCCTGGGATTGCTGCTGTAGAAATACGGAGGGACAGCAGGCACTCTTGTGCCATGTGTTGGGTCAGGGACACAGCGGAGCTGCTGGTGAGAGGTGGCTGACAGGAACTGGCAGCTAACAAGGTAGCCTCCCAGTTTTGTGGACACTGGTAGAAAATACAAAATCTCTCGATTAGGGACAAGGGACCATTGATTATTCAAAGCAATAGCAACAAACAGAGCATCAGTATTTTCCACCGCCCTCCCAAGCCCCAGTTCCCATAGGGTGATGCGAGGGGAGTCAGGGGCACCTGCATAGGCATTGGGCAACTACAGGAAAGGAGTGCAGGACTCTACCCTTTCACAATGCACAGCGAGAATGCCTGCTCTCTGCTCTGGAAGGAGGGATTACCTCTCACATTCCAATGCTGTGTGCTGCACAAACAACCTTAAAAAGGGTACTAAGGGAAAAGGGGTAGCCAAGTGCTTAACTCACAAGACTGCTTGAACATGAGACTCAAGGAGGGAGCTCAGCAGGCCTGGGGTGTTCAGCCACTGTTCCTGGACTGAAAAGACAGAATCAGCTGGAAGCCTCACCTTTAAGAGAGGTGACCCCATCACCCAGAGGAACACAGGAGCTGTGCTGCTTGCGCTATGACAAAGCCAGCAACACTCTTCCCATCCAGCCAACTCCTGAATACACCTAACAGCCCTCACGCCAGGACAGGAACTTGAGGGCATCCATCCATCTCCTTCCACCCAAACTTCCCACTGGCTTCTAGATTCCACTCAGGCTGCAGGGTTAGAGGCCTGGCATCAAACCCTGATCTGCTGGTTTGCGGCTGGGCAACCCTGGACACATAATTCTGACCTTGGGCCCCTCTTCTGTACTGAACCTAAAATGGCCTCATGGTGATGCCTCAAAGATTTAAAACAAGAAGTAGGAGGTTTGGCACAAAACAGGTGTTCGACAACATCAGCACCTTCCTCTTCCATGAGTTTTTTTCGAGACAGAGTGTCGCTGTTGTTACCCAGACTGGAGTGCAATGGCATGATCTCGGCTCACCGCAACCTCCGCCTTCTGGGTTCAAGCAATTCTCCTGCCTCAGTCTCCTGAGTAGCTGGGATTACAGGCACGCACCACCATGCCCAGCTAATTTTTGTATTTTTAGTAAGACAGGGTTTCACCTCGTTGACCAGGATGGTCTCGATCTCTTGACCTCCTGATCCACCCACCTCAGCCTCCCAAAGCTCTGGGATTATAGGCGTGAGCCACGGCGCCCGGCCGAGTTTTTTTCTCTAACATGAGCACACACTGACTTCATCCTCCACTAGCTCCTGGGGCATTCAGCACCCCTGCAGAGCAAAGCCTTTGGTTCTTTTTGCTTTGTCTTGTAAATATCCTGTCCCATTAGTCTCTCAGGGGAGACTCTTCCCTGTTTATTCCACTCCACACTGTTTCAACTCCTACTTTTACCACCCCTCTTGGCTTCATCCTCAACTTGTAAGGGCTTTTGCTTTAAGTGTATAATAAAATGAAATTTGTACTGAGCCTGGAGCATAGCGAAACTCAGGATTCTCTTCACCTTGCACACAGCATTGTCCAAAACAACTTCCACAGTGACAGAAATGCCCTCTAATCTTTTCGGTCCAATATAGTAGCCAGTGGCCACCTGCGTGCCAAGTGGCTGCCACATTCATTAGATGGCTGCAGATCTATACAAACCCCAGCACGCCAGATCCAGGAGGGAGCAAGTCATTGTCTGAAATTTCTATAACCTTGCTCTGGATGGAACAGGGCAAGGCCTCAAACCGTTTCAAAACTGTTCTCGCAAGCACTGAAGGAATGCATAGGATCACTGCAGACCCAAGCACGCTGGAGGCTTGCTACCCTCATCCACCCAAATCCCCCACACCATAGGAATCCGGCAGTCCCCTCTCACTGAGCACCAGTCCCTGCTGGAAGCTGCAGGAAGAGACCTGAGGGTTCAATTAGATACCTGAGCTTGGTTACAGACCAGAGCTACTGATGACTCTCAGGGAAAGATCTTTCTGGGTGAGGAAGAAGGGAAGGTGTCTTGGAAGAGAACCTTATTAAATCTTTAAATAGATCAGACAATACGAACTAAAATCCCACATTATTCTTTGACATTACAGTTCTAGTATGGCTCTTCCCTGTGACAACAGACATCCTTATCATCACGTAGTTAATATAAATACAGCCTTTTCTCCTTCATTTTTTTCTCATGTATCTTACGGCTCTGAAATCACTTCTGAACGACTATGTAGGCCAGGACACATGAATCAGATTTCATTTTCCCCATGAAATAATGGTTCAGAGAAAATGCGGGCCTAGTTCCAGGAAGGCAGAGTTGGGGTCTCTGCAACGTGACTTACCGGGGCATCTTGCAGAAGAGTTGCTGTGACAGTAAGCTCTTCCACTGTGAGACCATCACCTCAGCCATGGCTCCCCCCTAGAGGGGAACAAATGCAGTCAGCTCCAGCTTGTGCCTCTGAACCGTTATCCAGCTCTAGCTCCTTGCAACGCCTGGGCCACTCTACAGCTTCTCTTGCGGCTGGTCTACCCGCCATCCCATCCGTTCCGGTGAGGTCCCTCCAGACCACACGTCCCATCCTGCCTGGGGTCCAGCGAGGTCATGCAGAAGCCCCACTTCTCTGCTGAAAGAGAAGCACGACGTTATTCATCCCTAACCCCTGAGTCTCTTCCGGGGAAAATGTTCCGAACGCGCTCAATCGCCTCTTGCGAGGAAGTAGCATGTGTAGCAAAGGCTTGAGCTCCAAGAACCGCCGGCGCCCCCCTTCCCCCCGCAGCCCAGCCTCCGGTGCTGTCCGCCACTGAGCCGCGATCCCCCACGACCCCTACCTGGGCTCAAGAATAGTCAGGCAACACGTGGGGGCCAGGATGGCGGTGGATAACTAAGCTGCGGGAGAACGCTGCGTGACGAGTACAGAGAACAGACGCCGACAGCCAAGAGTGACGCAGTGCACGGCGCCGCGCACCTCGACGTCACCGCGTAGCCCCGCCCCGAAACCGTGAGCGGCCGGAGCCACGCGTTTGGGGCAGATGACATCATGGGCGCGGGCGCGGGCGCGGACTTTGCGTGGTGGGCTTGGACTTAAAGGTTAGGGTGCTGGGGCTGGGCCGTGCTAGAGGCGTCTGCGTGTCAGCAAAGTGGAGTCTCTCAACTGTCCCCTGTTACCCTCCTTTAGTGACCGGAAGCCTGGAGTTACGTAATCTGCCCCCGCAGCTAAAAGGACAGAGGCCAGACTGCGTGGCCTGGAACGGGTGCGCTGAGCCCCGAATGGGTAGTGCCTTCTCCGTGCGGCCGCACAGGCAGGCCGGGCGGAATCTAAGCACGTAGTAGACACGGGGCCTTGGGAATGAACAGGAGCCTGCCTGTGGGAGCAAGTGGGAAAGGTGATGCAGGTGGAAGGGCAAATACAAATTATACATAGAATTTAATTTTCCCTGCGGAAAATAAGGGACAAGAAACCACATCCCATTCTCTTTTCTTTCAGAATTTTAGCCTCTCTCCTTTTAAAATGTACTCAAGTCTTTCTCTTCTATGGCCAGGCTCAACTCAGGAATGTTTGTTGGAAGCCATCCACTTGAGATGCAATTGTTAAGCCGGGCTCGGTGGCTCACGCCTGTTATCCCAGCACTTTGGGAGACCGAGGCGGGCGGATCACGAGGTCAGGAGTTCAAGACCAGCCTGGCCAACATGGTGAAACCTCGATTCTTCTTAAAAAAACAAAAATTAGCCTGGCATGGTGGTGGGCGCCTGTAATCCCAGCTACTCGGAGGCTGAGGCAGGAGAATTGCTTCAACCAGGGAGGCGGAGGTTGCAGTGAATTGGGATTGCAGCACTGCACTCCAGCCTGAGCAACAGAGCAAGACTTCATCTCAGGGGGAAAAAAAAAGTAAAAAAAAAAAAAAAAAAAAAATGAAAAGAAACGTAATTGTTAAGGGACAATAGGGCCAAGCATCTACTTTCTTGGGAGGTCAACGGCTTAACTTGTCAGCTGACTCCAAATTGCAAAACCTACATTATGTGATGGATTATCTTACTTAGCTATATAAAAAGAGTGAGTTTCTGTCTTTGTGTTGGCTTTAGCAGGTTGCATGTGATGTATAGCATCACATTCTGGTTTAATGCTTATTCGATAATGGTTTTCTGTCTCTTCTACTGTTGTGGAGAGGTTTCATGGGTTGGGAGGAAACTACCCTCCACCCCCACCCATCCCCAGGCAGAGGAAAGCACATTGAAAGGTCCTGAAATTGAGAAGGATATGGTTTGCTGGTGATACAACTAAGTATTACAAAGATTGTACTATTCTGGAAGGATCTCAATGAGGAGTGGGAGAGGCGGTCGCTATGTGTTCAAGGGTCTTGAATGATCAGGCTAGAAAGGTAAGAACATGGTTCTATATAAGTAAAAGCAGAGCAGGGCTTGAAACTCGTATTATATGTATGGCAACTAGTAAATATACTCAATCACCGGTATGCAAATCCCATACTTCACTAAATGTCAGAATCCTAACGGACAGATAGGGCAGGACTATTACTTCCAGATTGCTAGCATGGAAACTAAAGCTCACCCAAACAAGTTAAATGGTTTGCTAAAAACCTTCTAGAACAGCCATGGCCTGGTGCAGTTTGTCCTAGCCAAGATGCTCATATCAGACTGCTCTGTCCATTCTGCCAGTCTGATAGGAGATTATAATGGCTCAACGGGTTTACCTTGCCTGCTGCTTAGGCAGAACCAATTCATCAAGACAGGGGAATTGCAATAAAGAGTAATTCATGTAGAGCCAGCTGTGCGGGAAATTGGAACTTTATTACTCAAATCAGTTTCCCCAAGCATTTGGAGGTCACAGTTTTTAAGGATAACTTGGTGGGTGAGAGGCAGCCAGTGAGTCAGGAGTGCTGATTGGTCGGGCCAGAGATGAAATCATAGGGAGTCCTAGCTGTCTTCTGCTTGAGTCAGTTACTGGGTGAGGGCCGCAAGATCAGATGAGCCAGTTTATCGATCTGTGTGGTGCCAGCTGATCGATCCAGTGCAGGGTCTGCAAAATATCTCAAACACAGATCCTAGACTTTAGTGATGTTGTCCCCAGGAGCAATTTGGGGAGGGTCAGAATCTTGTAGCCTCCAGCTGCCTAACTCTTAAATCATAATTTCTAACCTTTTGGTTAATTTTTTAGTCCTACAAAGGCAGTCTGGTCACAGGCAAGAAGGGGGTTTGTTTTGGGAAAGGGCTATTATTGTCGTCCTTTTTTTTTTTTTTTTTTTTTGAGATGAAGTTTCACTCTTGTTGCCCAGGCTGGAGTGCAATGGCGTGATCTCAGCTCACTGCAACTTCCGCCTCCTGGGTTAAAGTGATTCTCTTGTTTCAGCCTCCCAAGTAGCTGGGATTACAGGTGCCCACCACCACGCCTGGCTAATTTTTGTATTTTTGGTAGAGACAGGGTTTCATCACATTGGTCAGGCTGGTCTCGAACTCCTGACCTCAGGTGATCCACCAGCCTCGGCCTCCCAAAGTGCTGGGATTACAGGCGTGAGCCACCATACTGGCCTATTGTCTTTCTTTTAAACTATAAACTAAGTTCCGACCAAAGTCAGTTCATTAGTTCAACCTCCACCCAGGAATGAACAAGGACAGCTTGGAAGTTAGAAACAGGATGGAGTTGGTTCGGTCAGATCTCTGTCACTGTCTCAGTTATTATTTTGAAATGGTGGTTTCAGAGATGATGAATGAGAACTAAGAAAGTAAAAGTTACAAAGGGCCAGAGAATGTGTGTTACTGAAAAAAGGCTCTCCCAAGTGACTGAAAGAGAAGAGCTTTTTAACAGAGTGATAACCCGAAAAACTTCACTGAAGAAGGGGAGTTGTGGTCGGGTGTGGTGGCTCACACCTGTAATCCCAGTGCCTTGGGAGGCTGAGGTGAGTGGATCACCTGAGGTCAGGAGTTCAAGACCAGCCTAGACAACATAGTGAAACCCTGTTTCTATAAAAATACAAAAATTAGCCGAGTATAATAGCCCATGCCTGTAGTCCCAGCTACTCAGGGGACTGAGACAGGAGAATCCCTTGAACCTGGGAGTCGGAGGTGCAGTGAGCCAAGATGCTGCTATTGCACTCTGGCCTGGATGACGGAATGAGACTCCATTAAAAAAAAAAAAAAGACTCAGGCACAGTGGCTCGCGCTTTGGGAGGCCTAGGCAGGTGGATCGCCTGAGGTCAGGAGTTCCAGACCAGGCTGGTCAACACGGGGAACTCCCATCTCTACTAAAAATACAAACAATTAGCTGGGTGTAGTGGCACACCCCTGTAATCCCAGCTACTTGGGAACTGCTTGAATCCAGGAGGTGGAGGTTGCAGTGAGCCGAGATTGTGCCATTGCAGTCCAGCCTGGGCAATAGAGCGATACTCTGTCTAAAAAAAAAAAAGAGAGAGAGAGACACACACACACACAGAGAAAGGGTGATGCTTACTTATTATAAAAGTAATTAGGGGCCAGACATGGTGGCCTGTAATCCCAGCACTTCTGGAGGCCCAGACAGGAATCCTCCTTTAGTCCTTTAGTCCAGGGGTTCAAGACCAGCTTGAGCAACATCACAAAACTTGTCTCTACAAAAAATTTTAAAAATTAGCCAGGTATGGTGGCTGATAGTCCCAGCTACTCAGGAGGCTAAGATCCGAAGATCACTTGAGCCCTAGAGATTGAGGCTGCAGTGCAGTGTGATTGTGCCAATGCACTCCAGCTTGGGTGACAGACCAAGACCCCATCTAAGAAACAAAAAAAAATCAGAAAAGATGCCAAAACATAAAAATCACATAACCAAAGTTTAACTGGGATTATGCTCGGAAACTGGAAGTTAGAAACAGGATGGAGACTGGCACAAAGAGAGGGACATGACAGCAGTATTTCAACTGCTTGTCAGAATACTAAAAAGAACTTTCTTCAAACCCACATCTCAAATGAGTAATTCCATTGTTCTTCCAGGCCAAGTAGTGAAGCTAGATTTTTTTGCTCCTTAGTTCAGCTAAAATCCAGGTTCTTGTCTCCTGATTAGGAAAAATTAGGCACGTGGACACATCAAAGGGTGAGAATTTATTAAGTGAAAAGAAAGCTCTCAGCAAAGAGGAGGTCCTGCCAACAGGCTCCCATCCCACAGCTTGAATACCAGGCCACCACACTGGAGCTGAAGAGGCCTGGCTCCTCCCCTGCATAAGGCGTGAATTCCTGGTGGCTCCACCCCGTTCCCTCAATGCACACGTGGGCTCCTATTCTGAGCCGCTCCGCACTGATTTATTTCCCTTACCACACATGTGTTAAGAGATGGAATTTTTTCACCATGGGCATGTTTAGGCAAGCCCCCTGTGCATTATGACCTGGATGGCATTTGGCTGTCTCCTGTCTCTATCAGTAGCATATGTAGGGGAGGAAAGATTAATTTTCTTACTACCCTTCTAAGTTCACAGCTGGAGTCCTTGTAAAAAAAGGTAGATTTTCTTTTTTGAGACAGGATCTTATTCTGTTTCCCAGGCTAGAGCACAGTGGTGCTATCATGGCTCACTGCAACCTCTACACCCTGAGGCTCAAGTGATCCTCCCACCTCAGCCTCCCAAGTAGCTGGGACTACAGGAGCTGGCCACCACACACACCTGTCTAATTTAAAAATTTTTAATTTTGTAGAGACGGGTTCCCATCATGTTGCCCAGGCTGATCTCCAGCTCCTGGGTTCAAGCAATCCTCTTGCCTTGGCCTCCCAAAGTGTTGGGATTACGAGCATGAGCCACCATGTCCAGCCCAAAAGACAGATTAACAAGAGAAAAAGAAATGGAACTATATTAACATGTATACTTTGCATATACATGTGAGATACCCAAGAAAATAAGTAAATCTCAAAGGAGTGGCTTAGAATTCAGGGTTAAGTACCATCTTCAGCTAAAAACAAAGAAGGGAGTGGGGAAGGCCAGTTTGGGAAAAAGACCTGGAAAAGCA